GGTGAATCCATGTTAACTATTCGTGATAACTTCTAATTGCTTGGAGAGGGTATGCAGAACAAGTTGTTTCATCACCTTTCTGGGGATGGAGATTCCCAGATCTTCCTTCTTGCCCTTGAAGACTGAAGTGCTATAGGCTACCCTCCAGTCTTCAGGTAGCTCCCCGGTTCGCCAAGATCTTTTGAAGATGACAGAGAGTGGTTCAGCAGCCTCCTCTGCCAGCTCCCTCACCACACAATGACACATTGCACTGGGGCCCATGGATCTGTGTGCACTAATACTAGCTAGATGCTCTCTGACCAGATCCTCCTCAACCAACAGGAAGTCTTCCTTTCTCCTGACACTCTCTCCTACTCCCCAGGGTCAAGGATAGCATCTTAGCACTGAAGACTGAAGCAAAGCAGGCATTCAGAATCTCTGCTTTCTCAGCATCCCCTGTTACGAGGGTACCCACCTCATTTAGTAGGGGACACACATTTTCCCTAATATTCCTTTCACTGTTGATTCATTCCTTTCTTCTTCCTCGGTGATCAGGCCCTTTTTCCCACATCTCGTTGGCCACCTTCTTTTCTATTAGTTGACCCACGAGTTCCTTGCTCATCTACACAGGCCTCCAGCCACCCTTCCCCAACTTCTTACTCTTCAGGATTCTGATCTTGAGCTCAGAATCAGTGATGTTTAAGATCTTCTATGGAAAGCAGTTATACCACCACAAAACTGCTCTAGAACAGCTCTGAAAATACAGAGACAGAATTTCCTCAGGATTTTGTTAACTTCACTTGGTGTTGTTAACCTACCTAGAGCTCACCTAAGATCTTGCCTTTCGGCAGCTTTGGTACAGAAGTGCATTAAACAACAGCCGTTATAATACGACTGTTATCATGATTATGTGATCACTCAAACTAATTGCATTCAGTAATGATTTGGATCACAGTAATTAAGTTTGTATCCCCAGAGTATCTACAATAGGTGAGGGAAGTGAATTTAATTCACAGACTCTGATATCTACACATCTATTTAACCAGGCTAAAATTTGGAAATATTTCATGAGGAGTAATCCAGTCACTACAGTCTTATCTGAAGCTTAACATGCTTCCTCTAGTAGCAAAGTCTCCATTTCCTATTTCACATTGTGTCATTCACAAAATAACATCCTATCCTTTGGAAATCCCCATCCGTATTTTTCCTACACAGGGTTACACAAGCTGCATGTTCTAGATGCTAAAAATACCCACAGAAATGAATCCAGCAAAATGTTTGCTGAACAAAGTGCACTTGTTTAACATTATTAAGAAGGACTGATAAAACTAGTCAACTTCTTGAGGGAAAATCTGCCATCAAAACAAGTATTTTTTTCCACTAAGGGGCTAAGACAATTTTTTTTGAGGAATAAACACACTTGGAGATGGTACTCATGGATCTTGGTATGTTTCACTGATTTTAGAAGCTAGTTCTTGACAATTTGCAGAGGGCAAAATAATTCAGTCTCTGGAAATCACAGACTCCAAAGCCTTAAAACAGTCCAAGCTCTTTATTACCTCCTTATACAATACTAATTCCTTTAAACCAATGTTAATGAAATTGTGGAAAAAATAATGGGGAAAAAAATCCCACATTAAAAGACTACAGAGATAATCAGATGAATTATTAGGAATGCTTAGTATTTACCAGGAAACCACATGTCTACAGAGGAAAACAAGGCACTCAGCTAAATCAGTCAAACAATTAAAAAAGATCTATCTTTTGACATCTGTGGGTATATAGTGATACGTCTGAACACATTCACCAGGACTATTCCAACACATTACTCTTGCAGCTTGAAACTCAAAAGTAGTGAGACTATCTAATAAGAAAGGAACATTGTAGGACAGGTTCTCATGGCAATATGGTATAAGGTAATGCTGTTTTTTTTTAAGTTAGGTGATTTTAAACTAGAAATAACAGAGTTGCATATGAGTAGATACGTATGTTTTAGCTAAGCACAATGCTGTGGCACTCCTTTATTGCAGCAGAAAGAAAGCCTATTCGAAGTTAAAAGAAAAAATAAAGACAACAACAACAACAAAAAGGAAAAATATCAGTATGAACAACTAAATCAGAAATTGTATGTAAGCATGCCAGAGGAGCTGCTGAAAGCCTCATAAGATCTTAGAAGTGATACTTGTTTTCATGAATCTCAGCTAAAACAGAATTGCCAGAGTTACCTCAACTAAAATATTCTACAACATATTCATATAACAGCCTGGGTTGCAGCAGGTACAGGACCTAAAGTGAAGGAGATTGAAAGAAACAGGAAGGAAAGAGATCACTCAGAACCAGCAAGAGATGTGACTACAAAATTATCTACTGCCAGTCAAAACAATGAGATTTCCATCATTTCACATTTCTGTGGGAGACAGAAAAATGGGAAATTAGTGGGTTAATTCAGTAACTATTTTCTTAATTGCCCCAAATTTCTTATGTTTCCATTCCTATTGCACGTACAGTGAAAATATCCAGAAAAGATCTTACAAGTTTATTGGGCAGCAAACTCAACTCATTATGGAAGATGTAAAAAAGTTAAAATATCTTCAGCTTCTTTTTATTATCTTAATTTGCGTTGCAATTATACAGTGTAACAACACATTTTCATGGTTAGGAGGAGGAATTCTTCAGGCTAGACAGAAGCTTAAGAAGAGTCAGAAGTGGCTGGTGCTCTAAGATTCAGGCAAGCTCTCCAGATCTATCTGACCACATAATTGTGTATCATTTTTGTAATTGAGCATTAACTCAAAGCAATAATTAAGTACTCTCTTGCAGTGTGACTGAAATTGGTCCTGAAGGGAACCTTCAAAAATAAGTATCTAGCGTATGTGATTTGATTTTCTTTGCTAAAGGTACCATGCTATCCAGTGGTAACATGTTACACAACTATTCCATAGTCTCATTTCAGGTTCTTCCTTCTAAGCAAGTTTTAAACTTGAATGACTGTATGTCCAACATCTTGAAACTCAAAATCTTCACAGAGCATGTGGCTGCTACGTTATCAGGAGCTTTCCAAGTATATGGAACAACTGGTCTATCTGAAACATTTCCATTTTACCGTCTGTTGATTTTCTTAGTACTTTAAATATCCTATATTCTATTTAGAATTTTAAACCATCTGCAAGCATATAGTGCACCAGGAAAGTCTTAAAAATTATATTAACCTAGAAGGTTATGTCTAAAGGACCAAGTGTCTTCTGCTTCTTTCATGAGTGACAGAACCCATTGGGAAGATCTTGAGTATAATTAGGAAGGAGAGAAGGGTGAGAAAACAAACAAACAAACAAACAAACCAGAACTTAGGAAAATGAAAAATAACAAACACAGAAATAGCTAGCATGAAACATAATTAATGGAGCATAGCAGGCATTTTTAATTTTTTCTTGCATAGTATAGTTTAGAAGTAGTTATAAACCATAAAGGAAATTGTAAATTACTTACATTTTTCCAGTTTACCAGCAGAGAAGGTTGACAATCTGCAAACTGTAGATTTGGGCTTGGAATTGATAGATATTTAAATTAAAAGCATTAACCTGGCATAATTAAAAGAAAATGGCACTGCATCTATGAAATCAGGATGCAGCACAACTTGGGTAAGTCTTTGACCTAAAGAACACATCCTCAGATTTCCTTCAGCTCAGTTTATGAACTATGACAATGCTGAGCCTGGTGTTAACTAATTTCTCTTCCAAAGAGTTGAATTAAGGATAATCTAGGCTATGCGTCAGTTTTAGAGACTTTCTCATTCTTACTAAATTTCTCTGTTTTTAAACCATCTCAAAACAAATAGCACACCAACTTCCTCTATACCTTCACTGCTGTGAGCAGAGCTGAACTTTGCATATGCAAAAGAAAATTGTCATTTCTAAGTGAATATCATTCAGCAGAGACTTGCAAGAAATAACCATTAAGTGAAAGAACAGCAGTAACAGCAACTATTAAAAAAAAAGTGATGTATTCACTACTGTGCCTACACCTTTTACTCACTAAGTGGTAACAGCACATACAAAAATCACAACTGTAAAACATACCATCCAACAACAGAATAACCAGTAATCCCATTAAATAACTGCAAGCTTATCTTACTAATTTCCTATGTCCATTGTATTTCTTGGTATCACTGATTACCCTGAACATAATCTAGAAACTCTACATGTGCCTTTTCACCAGAAGTCTACTACAAAGTATGCCTACCACATACTTCAGGCTAAGACAAGCAAAGCTGAAGCTATATCTGACAGTGAGCTCTTCCCTCACTGTCATGCCCATTACCTTTATTATCTTCTAAACCCAGCTATTCACCTTCACTTGATTGCCTTGAACTCAGGAAGCCTGCATTTTACTAAAACTACGCTAACCGCAGTTCTAACCTTCCTCCATTTTAAGTAATGTAGTAATAACACTATAAATGAGATTTTTCAAGAAAACTCAGAGATCAGTTCAACTCATTTGTCAATTGATACACAGCATGGCACTAAAACAGTGCCTCCTTCTCAGAACTGTGACTTTTAATCTTTGAAGTAGCATACTGCAGAACTGCTTTGTAACATGTAACATGTTACTCTGTAGTAACCAGAATTTGATACCAATTTGTATGGGATCTGCTGAGTCACGGCCTGAAGCTCTGATTGATCACCTGAGGCGAGCATGGAGTCAGCCAGAGGAGCACAGGTGAAGGCAATTCACAAAACCTGTGCTGCTGGAAGGGGTGAAGCCTGGCTGCACCTCTCCTAGACCTATTTAAGAGCTGGCTACCAGCTGGGTATTGACAAATTGTCAAATTTGAATTCAAGTATTCCTTGTAAGTCCGGAACAAGGCCATCAAATCAGAAGCATCATCACCCAAGGGTGATCTCAGCACAGTCAGTGGCCAAAGACCAGCTCGTTAAGTGCAATCTACACATCGCGTGTGCCTTCCTTAACACCCCCCCTTTAGAATTTAAGGTTAGGTAGGATGAATCCGAGAACTAGGAAGCTCATCTCACCTCCCAGCTGCACCTTCCAGGCCCCGGAACCTCATGCTCGCTGCTCAGTCGCCCGCCCGGATCCCTTTGGCGGGAGCACCGTGCGGACGGCGGCCGCGGCGGGAAGGCGTTCGCCATGGTGCGTGGCGGGACGGCGGGGTGGGACGCGGTACCCCCGACTGCCGGCCGCTAAGCACAGAGGGGTCTTCTCATTTCTTTTCAGCCCAAATTGCCAAAAACCAAAGGAGGGAAGCAAGAGAAGAAAGCTGTCCATCCGTACAGCAGGAAAGCTGCCCAGCTCGCGAGGGAAGCGCACAAAAAGGACAAGAAAGAAAAGTAAGTGCTGTGTAACCTCACGTACACGCTGACGGACTGCGTGTGTGTGGTGAAAAGAGACTGCTGCGGTCAAGGTTGGCTTTCCAAAGGCCTGCGTAGCACTGCTGGGCCACGTGAAATGATCGCATGCACAAAATCTTCCGTATGTAGTTCAACTACTTCATTTTTGGATTTTAAGCAAGGTTTTTGCATTGCGAGTAAGCGTTTTGCTTATTATAGTCTGAATGGCGTCGTGCTAGTGACAGCAAATGAGGCTTAATCACCGGGCTTGACTTTACTCCAAGTTTTGCTTGGGTTTACTTTAACTCAACAACTTCTTGTGCTGAATTCATTTTAAGTAACCTCATTGGTATCTGCCCCACCTAACAGGAGCTTCTACATGAATCTAGTATTTAGCTCCTCCTCAGTGATGTTTCATGGCAAGTTCACTTTTCTTTTAGTTTTCCATCCCTCCCCTTCCGCAGAATGAGAAGATAGCTAGACAGAACTTGCCTTCCATTTTCACTCTGTTACAGCTGCAATGCACAGACCTACTCGTTAAACGTGGATATGCTGCTGTTGTTTGTTTAGAAAGTTACTGAAGTGAACTTCAGGCATTTTCTGTCAAAGTGCATTTTGGAAGGAGCGTTGCTCTGGGAGTTCGTGGTACAGTTAAAATGTTCCTCAGAGACTGTGCAACCTCTACGGCTAGGGATGAATACACAGCTTTACACAGAGCAAACTTGTACCTTTTTGCACCTGGGAAGGGGCCCTTTATAAGGACAACTGTCTCACACAGCCTCAGCAGAGCTGCTGTGAGACTTTACAAGCAGCACATGTAGAAATTCCTGGAGTTTTTAGCATGCAAGAGGTTTTCCCTGCTGCTTTATATTCTCATGCAGTCTGACTACTGGTTTTAACTGTGTGCTATTAGTTACTGATCATAACTGTTTTCCGTAATGCTAAATTGAGTACATCATCCCTTAAATACCTCTTCTTGCCACTTAGAGAGTTTAGTCATGAAAGATAACCAAATCATATTTGATTTTTCATTGCTAATGTCTACACCTTCATTAAAAGCAAAAATATACTGTATAATCAAAGAATATTATAATGTTATAATCACAAAATAAACCAAGAGAGTTAGGTAAAGCAGACGATGATAACAAAAGAGAATAAACAGAAGGCTTACCCCTATCCTGGGCTCACTCGCAGAACTCCAGCAGAGGCATTCTCTAGAAGAGAACCTTTCCAACTGGTACTCAGCTCTTAAATAGGTCTAGGAGGGGTGCAGCCAGGCTCCACCCCTTCCTGCAGCACAGGTGAGTTGCCTTCACCTGTGTTCCTCTGGCTGACTGATGGCTCGCCCCAGGTGATCAGAGATTCAGGCCTTGACTCAGCAGATCCCATACACTCCATCCCTTCACAGCCTGAACTAGTGATCAGGTTAACTAAAGGGTTAACGATATCAGGCACCAAAGGAGGTGTCCTGATCTGCCACAGGGACACGATGGGGGTCCCTTTAGCAATAAAGTTCGGAGTGTTGACCACAATATCAGTAGGCCATGTACCTATTACTGGAGGGACTCCTGAGCCTCCCACCTCCAACAGTCACCCCCGAGGTGCAAGTAGGCCACACCACTTGGGTCCCACCTGCACCTTCCAGGGCCATTTCATTTTATGGGTACCCGGCTCTAAATTCTCAGGGGCAGGGAGCAGAAGATTATTTTCGTTACCAATCTGGGGTCTTACCTGATGATCAGTGCCCGTAATTTGGATCCTAAGCAGGGTGGCCCATGTCGTCTGCAACATTCTCAGGCACTGGGTCTGCCGTCTCGGGTCTTGCATTCAGGTCCTGCAGGGTTTCATACAGTCTTTTCGTCCAACCCTGCAGGGACTGGGAGTCTGTCTTCAGGGCAGCCTTAGGAATACCAATATAACGTTTGATGAGGCCTGCCCCCGTTGGATTATATGGCAGGTGGAATCACCATTCAATGCTATTTTCTTCTGCCCAGCGCTGTATCGTTGCACCAGTAAAACGAGTCCCTTGGTCGCTCTCGATGACTTGAGGTGTCCTGTAGGCAGATATCAGTTTAGTGCATGCCTTGATGGTACGTGCCTGGTTTGCTCTCAGTACTGGATAGGCCTGCAGTAGCCCACTTGCAGGTCAGGGCGTATCTTGCCCCCTCGGAGTGAGAAAGGGGCCCGATGTAATCCACCTGCCATTGCTGGAGAGGATTGTGTCCTCTATCAAGGTGGGCTGTTGTTTCAGGCAACGATCTTGGTTTCATCTTGGAGCAAGTGTCACAATCCTGGCATGCCTGGACGATACCAGATAGCTGTATGGGCAGTGCCCATGCTTTAGCAGCTGCCCACGTTGTCTTTTGTCCAGCATGCCGTAGCTTCTGATGTAACCAGCGGGTGATGTTCTCAGATGGTGACTTCTCAATCCATCGAACTCGGGCCAGCGTGTCGCCTTCATCGTTTCCCGGTGACTGCAGGGGCTGATGACCAGAAACATGGTAGACACGTACAGTCCTGTGTTTGACCGCATTCATATGTCTGACCACATGTCTTTGCCCCAGGTTGGTCGTGAGTGGATAGTCCACTCCTGTGAGACCCACTGGGCAATCCAAAGAGTGAGCCCCCGGTACACAGCCCAACTATCTGTGCAGATGCTCAGGATGCCATCACCGAGTTCCTTCATTATAACCATCCACACGGCTCGCAGTTCTGCCCATTGGCTGCTCTGACCATCCCCCTCATCGAACCAGATTGTCTCCGTGGAAGGATGGTACGCTATTGCTCTCCACTTGCTCGGGTTGCCCTTGCTGGACCCATCTGTGTACCAGGCATCTTCAGGGATAGGATATTCTCCCTTCTGAACGGGACTCTTCTCTGGTGGAGCGACCAGTATTTCTTTTGGTGCATCACGGTGATACATCACCAGGCCTAGGATCTTCTGGAGTTCTTCTTTCAAGGGTGATGAAGACAGACTGCTCCTTTGGCTGAGATAGGCGACCCACTGTGCCACTGTTTGTGCTTGGGCCACCCCTGTCTTATGAAGGTGGGTCAGATCTTTCACCCACCCCTGAATTGACAGAGAGGTCTTGACTATAACTGCAGCTGTTGGAGTTATTGGCTCTACTGCCTCTAATGCCGAATAGGCAGCCAATAACTGTTTTTCAATCATACTGTATCTTTCTTCTGCTTTGTGCCAAACCTGAGACCAGAAACCAGTGGGGGTCCAAACAGAACTCTGGCATTGCCACAGGCCCCAACCGAAGCCGTCTTGAGTAACATGAACATCCAACTCGGCTGGGAGGGTAGGATCGAATATACCCAATGCCTGAGCTTGTTTAACTGCAAGTTTCACTCATTGGAAAGCGTCCTGTTCGGTTTTCCCCCAGTCCCATAGCTGCCCCTTTTTTGTGAGTCTGTATAGTGGCCTTAGCAGCTGCGCTAGGTGACATGTGAAGGAACACCAGTAACCCATATACCTAGAAACTCTTGCAGCTGCTTCGATGTTGTAGGGACTGGGAACGCCTGAACCTTATCTATGACAGCACTGGGTAGCACTTCGGTCTTTCCTGACCACACCACCCCCAGGAGTTTTATGGACAGGCCTGGACCTTGCACCTTTTGGGGATTTATAGCCCATCCCCTCTGTCGTAAATAGGTGGTTAATGAATCTGCTGCCTGTCCTGCTGCCTCCAGTGAGTCGGATGTCAACAGAAGATCATCAATATAATGATATAGGTTAACATCATCAGGTTTTCTCCAAACAGCCAGTTCATGTGCCACTAGATTTGACAATACGTTGGTGAATGCACGTACCCCTGTGGCAGGACCTGAAAGGTCCACTGCCTCCCCACGTAAATGCAAACTGATCTTGCGATTCCTCAGCAATTGGGATACTGAAGAACGCATTTGCTAGATCTAGGACACAATGATAGGTTTACATCTCTTTACTTAATGTGTCCATTAGGGAGGCAATATTGAGTACTGCTGCATGAATAGGCGACGTGACATTTAATTCTCTGTAATCTACTGTCATTCTCCACGTGCCCTCCAACTTGCGCACTGGCCATAGAGGGGAGTTATATGGGCTGTGTGCAGGTCTTATAATACCCACTTTTTCTAATTCCTGCACCATTCTCGATATTTCCTCTTGCCCACCCAGCAGTCTATACTGTCTGACATTAGTAATCTGGTGCGGTTTCAGCAGGCAAACAGGCCCATGTTTTGCATGGCCTCTTAATATTGACTGCACCGCCCGGATACTGATACATCTTTGTCAAAGTCTGAACTCTCCCATGGTTGTCTGGAGGGCCAGACCCCATAGAATATCTGTGCCCAGAATGTATTCTTGGACTGGGGCAATAGACACCTTGTACTCCCAGGGTGGAAGACGCCCAACCCCCAATTTTAACCATGTTTGGGTGACAGGAATCGTCTGTCCCCCAAAAGCACCAATCATCATTCTGTCCCCATTAAGTTTTGTCAGATCTCCAGAGATAATTGATGTTTCCGCTCCCATGTCCACTAATGCCATAACTCTCTGAATATTTTTTCAGGACCAATAAATCGTTAATTCTACATTCACACGCACCTAATACGACCAGTTCACAGATATAATTCTGGAGGTCCTCCATGGAGGACCACATCCCTATATGTAGAGGTCTATCTGATTTATTCGGCCATACTATACGATAGGCCGCCATTAACCATTCTATTATAGAATGGTTTTCATCAAGGTATTGATTACCTGCATATAACCTCTGCCTGAGAGCAGGATGGACAGTCATGGTGGCCAACTTGGCTATTTCTGGGCCATTCACCAAGACACTTGAAGATGTAGAATTGGCCTCTTCCCTGTTCATACGCCAAATTCTAGCTCTAGTTTTTCCATTCCGTCTTTCAAAAGTTGATTTTCATTCTCTAAAGTATTATTTCTAATTTCCGCATGATTTAAGGCGCTTAATAGTGGCCATGCCACCGGGAAGGCAGCCAGTTGTCTTTAGTGATGAGCACATCCTTACTCACTCCCAGAAAGTAATCCGCCATGTGATATGGGGAGATATTGCCCATAACGCGTAGTGGTCCCCATTTTTCAATGATAACCACTAGCTCATAGTAGGGGGATCCCTCAAATCCTGGGATCTGCCCTGGAATCATTTTCTCTAGAGGAGTATTGTTCTCCCCCTTGACCCATTTATAAAAATTCCAAAGAAAAGACATGATGTAAATTTTAGTATGTTTGGCCTGCCTGACTCACCAAGTGTATAATCAAAGAATATTAGGATGTTATAATCACAAAATAAACACACAGAGTTAAGCAAAGTAGACTATGATAACAAAAGAGAATAAACAGAAGGCTTACCCCTATCCTGGGCTCACTTACAAAACTCCAGCAGAGACAATTTCCAGAAGAGATCCTTCCCCCCTGGTAGCCAGCTCTTAAATAGAGCTAGGAATTGCCTTCACCTGTGCTCCTCTGGCTGACTCACGGCTCGCCTCAGGTGATCAATCAGAGGTTCAGGCCCTGACTCAGTAGCTCCCATACACATACACAAAAACAGTGTGTTAAGGTTAGATTGGGTATTCATTGTGACATGGTACACTTAAATCAGAAAAAGATTCTATCATGTGGGCAGAATTATATTAGTGTAGTACCCGTACTGACAAATTCTTAAGTGCTGCTTTTGTTTCCTTTTATAACAGAAAGAAGCTAATTATAATAAGCAACCCACCTGGAATGGCAGTTTCCCATTTGGTTTACCATTTAGTTACTTTTCTTCATGGAAAAGTTGCCTTTGTAAATGTGATTGCTTTTTAAGAAGGAACCTTACATAAAGGAAGTAAAATTATTTATGAAAGTAACAGCACAGTTAGCCTTTCTGTTTCTTTAAAGTACAGCAAAAGGAGCTGGTCATGGCAGCAGTATTCTTCCAAGTGAAACAAACAGATCTCTTCTGATGTGTGTAATGGATTAACCTGAGGAAAAAGCACCTTTTTATGGAAAGCCATTAAGTACTGGCTGTTCAGCAGGCTAATTAAGAGTGTGCTTCAAACAAGCTAGTGAAAGAACAGCTGCTTCCTCTTTAATTCTGTGAGGGATCAGTGAAGCCTACTGTCTTCACAGAATGTCTCAGTTTAAGATTAGACAATGTAGAGCGCTGTCTTCTGCTTTAAGCTCTCTTTGTTTTGAATGTTAAAAGCTTTTTTTTTTAATAAGCAGACATGCTCAACAGTTTGAGGATACAGATTCTGTCTTAGGCTCTGTTTCTTGATTTCTGCCTCTCCTTTTCCAAACTTTCTTACTATTTCAGGCACAGGTTCTTTAGTCTGATGGTAATTGATACAATCCTTTGTTCCTCACACAGAAACTATCCTGCTAAAAGTTGTGTGTCAACCTGGACCATCCAAAGCTTATTGTGATAGCAAAGTGTTCTTTAAATTGCGTCCAAACCAATTAATTACCCATTGTTATCTGCACACGAAATTTCAGTATTACAGTGTGACACTGGAGAAGAAGGAAGGCAAAATTCTTTAAGTTACAGAAGTCTTTCATAGCATGTCATCCAAATAGTCAATGCAATCATTCTCAATGAAATATGACAGAATTACACCTTTTTCTTCCCTGTCTTGCTCTTCACACAGTATCTACTAAACCTCAAGAAAATCTTTAATCATCCTTTTCCATAATGTCTAAATGTATGATTTACATTTTTCTTTCAGTTGGAGTCAAGAGCTTGCTGCAAGGTTGAATCCCTGCCCTTATCCTCTCTTTCCCTTGAGTAAAAGATGTTATTCACTGTGTGGAAGGAGATGAGGAACTATCTTTGCCTTGCCTTATTTGATTAGCTTCCTTGCAAACACTGGTGTATTCTAGCAGGCACTGAGGTAATGCTCTTAGGAAAAGTACAGCGAGGCAGTATCTGATCATATCTTCTAGTATTTCTCATACTGAGATAAGTTGTGTACTCCATAATAAAGAAGGCTTTTCTGCCAGAAAATAAGCTTGATTACGTACATAATTGCCTAGATAAGTGATCCATTGACCACTGCAGGTACAAATGGTTGTAAACCACAAATAGATGGTGTTATGATTTTAAAGAGAGAGCTTTTCTTGATGGCATTGTAGTTTTCTCCATGGCAACTCGTTGCAGATGTGCTTGGCTCACTTTGTTGCTATGCCAGATTCACAGCTGGGACTGCTGGTGTGCAGCTCCGCTGTGTGGGAATACAAATCCTTTCCGTGCACACTGTGACCTGTCAAAACTCCATGCTGTGTGCTGTAAGCCCTCCATGGGCTATCAACCATAATTATCTTGAAGAAATCTTCTACAGCAGACTTTTAAAGCTGGCTTCTAATCTTAATCCTTTTCCCTTTGTTTTTACCAGTCTCATCCAGGTCTGTCCTTTCACCCTGATGTCATTTCTGCTTAAACATTATATTTCTTTAGCCAACCAGCTTTTTGCAGGTATGATAACACTCATCCTGCTTGTTTGTCTTCTGTAGCTTTCTACATTAAAAATTCTTATCCAAGATGCTGTGGCATCTGTAACAACAGAAAAAAAGCAGCTTTCCTTTAATGTGTTAGTGAAAATCTCAGCAACTTGGACACACATTGGTTTTTATGTGGCTTTCAGGATCACTTCAGAGAATGAAATGAAAACTACTTGAAAAGTCTATTTATTTTAATAATGTAGGTTAATGGCCATGTGACCCATGTATGTTTGTTTCTAGAAAGTAGGACTTTCTCTTTTGATCTGAATATTTTTTTAACAGGTGAGATGCTTTTTTGTCCTGTAAGCTACTTGAGTTAACTGTGAAATGCTCATTAGATTCTACAGAGTACAAAGAATTTAATACAAAAGCAAACAGCTTTGAAGTGTCGTGAACTTTGACAGTTGTTCTTTCAAAATATATCCTTTATTTTTTTATTCTTGAGCCATTTTATTACATAACAGACAAAAAAAGCCTTAATAACGTCACAAGTCCTTGAATATAGACAGTGAACATGCACATATATTTTTTAATACTTATCCCAACTATCAATTCAATTTCTTTCTGGAAATGAAGTGAAATTCAACAGCATTCCTTGCTGCAAAACGAGTTAAGAGCTCCCTGTTACAGAACTTGTAGTCCCTGAGAACTTCTCAGTAGGACTGGAGTTGATCCCCAACTGAACTGTGCACACGCATCCTATAGGATGCAGAAGACTTTGTTATCCCACCACAGACTGAGGTGGGATAATCTGGAAAATACTTTCAGATCTTCTTCATAGTTCTTATTAATAAAAAAAAAACCTTGGTTTCATTTTTTTAACATACGAACTTTTCACATAAATGCTTACTGTTCACTAAGCACTAACTTGAATTATTTAAAGTTAATTAAATAGTAGCATGATAGTTTGTTCTTCTACATTTGGCAGATATTTGTTTGCCATTTTACCTTGACTTTCATCTAAATATTTTCCTTTTGAAGAAGGAAAATGAAGAAAACTATCTGCACTTTACTCCTTCCTTGCTAACTTGTTTGTTTTGCTCCATTAGGTTAAAGACTGAGAAAGCTTTACGTCTGAGTATTATTGGTGAGCAGAAACTTTTATTACCAAATACATTACACAACTTTCTATGATAAATTTTTGTTACTTTATGTAACTTTAAAGCTATTCCAACTGGAGTGTCTTTATGATCTTACTCTGTAAATGTAGAATAGACTTTGTAGTCTTTGTAGCTGAAATACCTGATGTTCTCAGAAGTAGTACGTACAGGAGATGAAATAGGATTTTTGACAAAAGGTTAGGCTTTACAGAAAGATTACATAAAGATTAAGCTTGTTTATAATGGGTCACTGTAAGCCAACCATCTGCTTTTGAATCTGTCTTATCTGTATGCTTTTGAATCTACATGGAGACAATTGCTATAAATGTTTGTGAAAGAAGATTATAGATATAGATCAATGGACATGCTGTGCTCTGAAGTAAATACAAGACTTCCAAGACACAATACGAAGTACTTCTTTCCTTTTTAATTCAGTCTGTTTAAAAACTGTGGTAACTGGAACTCTTGTTCAGCCTTTGTTCTGTTGTGATTTCTTCTTTGTTTTCCTTATTTGCCATCTTAAGTAATTAAACCATTTTATTGGTTATCTATTATTTTAGACTCTCATTTCCAGTATTTTACATTAAAGCATCAAAACACTTTTCCATAAGGAAGACAATATTTCTATTATAGCTGCCTTCATACCCAGGCAGATCTTTATGATGCCATTCAGGTTCTTGAAGGGAAAAAAGACAATGAGTTTATTTCAGTAACTTTGAAGAACTTCAGTCTTTCCTGGTGCTCCCATGATGATATAATCAGCATTAATTTCATTCCCGTAGGAGAAAAACTGCAATGGTTCCAGAGTCACCTTGACCCCAATAAAACTGAATACACAAAGAAGGAAGCGTGTGAACTAATTGAAGAGTAAGTCTGGGTGTTAAAAGAACACTGAAGAACTTGATTTGCCTTTCAAAATAATGTTTCTAAATAAGATCTTTGTAGTGACTTAGGTGTTCCTTTCTGTTAAGTCTGTTAGTAATACCAAGTAGCTAATTTTATTAAAATTGAAGGTTGTTCTGTACTGAAATGTATACATCTTCCAATATGCATTGAAATTGCTGAAGTGAGCCTTGTGTTTTTATTAAAGCATGTCCCTGCTTTTGCAGCTTGTGGACAACTAATGATCTGGAGAGGTATTATAATGGTCTGAGTTTGCTAGTTGGGTTTCATTGAAACTTAAATGCACCAATGTAATTGTACTTCTTAATCCTTCTATTTCTTTGCTGAGAAGACAAAAAAGTGTCCTGAATACTGATTATTTAGGAAATATCAAAATTGGATTTGGCTAGAGCTCAGCTTTGTGCATATGTACATGTGATCTGCCACCATTTTGTTTTTATACCTGCAAGCATAATGACCTATATGTATTAAGAATTTGCATTGTATCAGTTTCCTTTCAGGAGCTCTGAAATACTTTCTATGCTGGTCAACACTTGTGATACTGCGAAGGCAATGCCACCTTATTTTCTGGATCCATTTTTAACTGTTTGAACGTTTACACAGTGATGACACTGCAAAGAAGAACTTCAGCAGTTAAAGCTTAGTGGTTATCCAGAGCAGATCAGTTATGATAACGTGAAAATTTCATTCAAACTGTTTGAACAAAAAAGCAAATTAAAGAAAGAAAAACACAGCACCTTCCTGAAAGCAGCAGATGATTCAAACGTAGTTCTAAATGGAACTTCCAGCTTGTAGATTAAAGTTATTTTAGTAGATTTGATGAGCTGTATCTGACTCATTTTGAAAATACGATTTGCAAAATATCTTCTTAGATTGTCCAAGTAATTGTTCTGCAAAAAGTTACCTCTAGCATAAAGGATTGTATTTCTTTCAGGTATATGGAACGGTTCAGTGCCGAGTTGGAGCAGATTGAGTTACGAAACAGTATTAAAGGTAGACAGGGAAGACAGCATGGATCAAGGGAAGCTGTCATCAAGCAGACCATGGAACGTGAAAGACTGCTCTATGAAGGCTATGGGATAGGTACGTAAAAGCTTTAGTGATAATCCTGTGGTCATACCTCTCTACCAACTAACAAGGCCAAAATCAAAGTAAAATTTGTAAGTATTACATTTTTCACCCCTCAGAGGAGTTAACTATTTGTGGAGTACCTTACAGAGAAGTTGGGCAGGGAGGGGAAGGGCAGGATAAAGAAACAGTGCTGGGGAGGGAGAGAAGGATGAGAGAGATCTGACATATTTCCACTACATAAATTGACATTTAATTGCATTGTATCTTTAGTACAGGTAAGTAAAATATATTTTTGAAGTGCAAGTGGCATTTAACGTACATTTAAGTCTCAAGTCTCAGGCATTTAAGTCTCAAATGCATATTATGTGTATATAGTGATCCAGCATGCTTGAATCTTCATTTTATGCTAAGACTTTTTATATTAAAAATGCATTTCAGTGCATATTTTAGTGTGCATTGGTGAATAGTGTGCATATGGGGAATAAAGTGTTTTCCTCTGCAAAGTAATTAGGTTTTGGGTGGGGTTGTGCCAATGAAATCTATATACATGGCTTGCTTTAATACTTCTTCAGTAATGTGCAAATTTACCATTAGGGTTAATCCTGTGACCCAGCTTGCATCTTTCCACCAAAGCAGACCAGTGGCATGAGGAACTTCAACAGTTTGATACGATGAGAGAGTGGGCTTTAGGGTCTGTGAACTTGAAGACGACCAAAACCTCTACAAACTCACGAGCCAAAAGCTCATGAGCTTCAGGGAGAGGCCCATCATTCCTCTAAATTCAAGGTGTGCTCTGTGTGGGAAAATGGTTGCATCAAAAATTGTACTTCTGATATATTTCCAAAGCTTGAATACTTCTGGAGTATTCCTATTAGAATTCAGGCAGTCCTGGAGGATATGTTGGACTGTTACGACACTGCAAACAATTTTACAGGCACAGACGATGTTTACCAAGTAGGATAAACACACTGTCCCTCTTATTCTCAAGTAGAGGCTCTGTGCTTCCTTTAACTTATAAGAGGTGGTGTTGGAGGGAATATGTGAGAAGGCCCTTATAATTAACCTCTGAATAATCAAACGCAAGAATTGTGAAGCTTTCAAATTAAGCATTACTAATGAGAGCTAGCAGTGAGAGCCCAGCTGAAAGCAGTCTCAGACATTTAGCATTTACATTGGCCATCATCACAAGTTTGAATAAAAGCGTAATGCCAGTTATTCTTGTTGACTTCTGTGTTATCACAGGTCATCCTTTGGCAGTGTAGTATCTGGTTAAGTCTTCTGAGATCAGCTGGGAAGCAGTCATGCAAAAACCACAACACAAACATTTCCTCAGAAGAGGCCTAGAGTTTCCCTTAAGAAGGAATAAATGCACTGTGAAAGTATTTTGTCTTACAGGAGACAGCATGCAGGTGCAAACTGCTTTTGAGTGAGAAATGCAAGTTTAAGAACTAGACAGCTGGAACTGGGCTGAAAAGAAGCATCAGTAAGCTGGTTAAGTAAGGAAGAAAAGATAATGAAAGTAAAACAAAAAAAAAAGCGAAGAGCTTACAGTCAAGTACAGAATAGTACTGAAACTTGTGATTTGCATTTTTTCTTTAACAAGCAAGGATGTTAGAGGCAAGTGATAAACCTTGCTTTAATGATTGAGTAGTGTTCAAAGTCAGTCAGTCCAGCTAGTGAAAGTAAGTTGGGGAAAAAGTGACACATCAAAATTGCTGAGATACAAAGGACAGCCAAGTTTTGATGGTGTGTCATATTTCCCTTTCCACTTTATTTTACCAATAAAGTAAATGAGTATGTCTCAAAATATTAGAAGTGTTGGGTAGTACACTTTGCCATCAGAGAGGGATTCAGAAATACCTGTATGACTTCATGCCTAATGGAAAACCATACTGTTTACTTGGAAGACAGAAGAAGTCATAGGAAAATAGATGCTATTCATGTTATCAAATGGCTCAGATATTCCATTTTTCCTTTGTTGCCTTGTGGAAAGCTGACAAAACAAGTAAAACTAGACAAAGACATCAAATGCACAAGCACAACATAAAAATAAAGAAGAATCCAGAAGTATTGCAAGCAAAATTGGAGGTTATTATAGTATTAGTAAGTAAAGCATTCAGAGAGCATAGTGCAACTTCATATATTAAATACGCTCTCAAATTATTCATTATTTGTTATAACAGCTGCTGCAGGTTTTGCTCTCTGTCTAGGGTAGTATTCACTCACAGACAATAGTTGCTGCTAAAGACTGTAATTACAGATTGGGGATAAATGGAAATCAGCTGGAAACTGCTTTTATGCTTCTGAGTAATTATTGTCACTGAAAGCTGTGAAGTGAGGGGCTTTTACAACTGTATTTAAGTTTTTACACTCGTTCCTGAACTCAGTTATTGTAGATGCATGTTTGCTATGAACAAGCTACATGATATGAATTGTTTATGTTGAAGAAATGATCATAGAAATTGATGTATATATCAGATATGTGTAAATGGAGAAGCAATTATTTTACTGGCTGTTTACAAAAGTGGAGGACATCCAAAAGCATAGTAAGTCTTAGTCTGGGAAAAAAAAAGGGTATCTACACAGGGAGCATTCAGATCTGAAAGGTTGTTCTGTTAGCAGTTCCTTATCACTCCCTTATTCCTTAAATACATCTACATCAGTTGTACTGCCATCTTGCTCCTAATGTATCATCATTTGTGTCAAATCTGGTCTTATGTGTTTTTTGGAAAGCTACTGAAAGGGAATCCTAAATCATGTGACATAGGCTTGGAACTCAGAATAGTACACTTTCTGTTGGAAAGCATCATAATTGTTTCCTCTGAAGATTGTACGTTTTTGATTATTTGTTTCCATTTAACTGGCATGTTCTTACAGTAGCACAGTGTAAGTTCTGGGGAAGAACAGCCTTTGAAGCTTAACGTACCACTTTTATTAGTCTATTCTTGAAACTTCAGGATGTAAGGATATTGATTTCGATTGAAATGAAAGTTGTATCACTTGCATGTATCTGCTAGTGTAGCTACAACACTCACAGACAATCATTATCATGGACAGCAATTACACTACAAATTCCACTCATAAAGAAAAGCAGGGATGTATTTGTATATAAATCTAATGCAGTGTTTTAACAAAACTTAATTATAAATAAGCCAGCTTCTTAAGAAGATTTGAGATGACTAAATACACTTATTTACTGTGTAGAGGATGAGGTTCAGAGCAGTGAAGTTTGCAGTAGACTCCTTTACTTTCTGAACTCCTTCAAAGAACAGAAACAACAAGCCTAGGTGCAGCTAGATCCAATCCCAAACTTAATCAGTGTTTTATGTATAAGGGATCACATGTGCACAGTCAATCTAAGCTATAATCTTAGCAAAGCTATCGAAGTTTAAAATAAACTCTTAATCATTATGGATCAGCAAGATGTCTTGATACTGAGGTGTAAGTTTTGTGATCATCCATCTAGCTTAATGAGAGTATTATCACTCCTGTTGCTCACAGTCTTGCTGTTGAGAGGCCAAGCCAAAGGAGGAAGTTGAGGGGAAAGCATGCCACATTATACATAGGCTGCTTGTATTCTCTGTCAAGAGCAGTGATGTTTCAGTTCCTTTGAGATTTAGGTAAATCTCTTGTGCAGCTCTTTGTTTTTGGAGAGAGAAATAGTGCTATGAAAAACAATGATGTTTTTATGAACAATGTACTTCTAGAAGGACATGAAATATTTCAGGAGACTGTCACAGAACGTGATTCCAGTTGGTAAAAAGTAGTGCTGTGAGGCCCTCTGACAATGGGATTGCATCCTGCACCTGCTTTTTCTCTGGTTCTGTTTTAGAAAGTCTCCAGTTCAAGCCTGTGCACAGAGGCAGGATTATTCAGACCCACAGCTGAGAGCTTGCACTCCTGGTGCTCATAGGAACTAGAAGTAATCTGTTCTGATGCTTCTTCATCCAATGAACTATAAAGGGGTTGATTTGCCAGTATTTCTCAAAAGCTCTGTTACAAATTAAGCTCAGTCCCTTGTCTTGAAATGGTGTTAAGGAGTATCATCTTTGTGACAAAACTTGAGAGCTAGCACAGTTTGTTCTTCCTCAGAAGAAAATCAGTTAAGAGTATCTGAGAGTGTCAGAAATGTGGGGAAAAAATACATTTTTCACTGCTGTTTCATTGCAGCAAATAAGTTGCTGAACACTTCATCTTAGAAATGCCAGATGCTATCTGTTACCTGAAATACTTCATTTCTTTTCCACTAGCTCTTATGCTCTGTTTCTCCATCTGCCATTTTTTTTCCCCATTTTTATCTCAGTAAACACGCTCTTGTGACTTAAGGTTTTTAAAGCAAATTAGGTTCAGAAATGACAGCAGAAACCAAAGGAGTAAGGTATATGTTCCTTTGCTTTGCCTTACTCAGCTGTGATTGCTGTCACTATACCTGTTTATCAAGAAGCAGTCTGCAAAAGTCAAAGTAATAAGTATCAAGAATTGTTGCATGTATTATTAGTCCTCAGCTGACTTTATAACCCAATGTAAAGGGAAAAAATATTCTTCTGAATTGCAAAGCCTATCTGGCCACGAAGATAAGAGGTAGGTATCATCACTCTACATTCTGTAGCAAAACCATCTATAATCCTGCATTGATAGCATCATCTGATTTATTTTTGTAATGCCCAAGAACACTGATAGATGAACAAATGCAAAACTATGTTCAGGGCTCACTCAAGGACAGTGTAAGATGTACTAAAATCTTATATTTTTAAGAGCTAAAATGAAATGGATTCAGTATTTCAGAGGTAGCAAGCAGACTTTCTTCTTGCAGGCTGTGAAATCTACAGTATAAAATATTGTCTGTTAACAATGTATTTTAACTATATGATTTATTTTACATTAAAAAAAAACAAAACTAAGGCTTCTAAATCTCTATAATTAGTGATGATATTAAACACGGGTCGTATGTAATATTTTGGACTTGACCAGGAAGAGAATGGCACTGAATCAAAGCAAAGCAGTGTAGGCCTTCTAGGTAAAATTTTGCATGAGTTACAAACAACACTTCTCGTTATGGATTCCCAGGGAGCAAAAAATAATCTGTGCCAAAAGTACCTGTGCTTCTTGCCTTTTTTTTTTGCTACCAAAGGTAATAAAGATTTGCAGTCAGTATACTTCACTCAAATCAGGTTTGGGAAAGAGATTTCATCTTTATGAAAACTTTCAGTCTAAAATTCAAAATACTGATGTACATTTCTATTTTACTTAGAGGAACATCAATTCATGAGAAGAGATGAGTGTCAACATTCTTTCTAAATATTACATTGCATGTAGGGCAGCATTTGACAGTCATTTCAGCAGCAGCAACAAGCTTCCCTGTAGCAAATGTTGAGAAGCACGTTGAAGCACTGGTGAGATTTACTCACTCAGACTGATGGCACTTCCCTAAGTCCATTACTGATCTGTCTTGCTTGCAGTGGTGACTTAAGAGCTTTGAAATTGTTTTTCTATAGATGTTTCAAAATACTTACAGAAGCCTTAGTGCTCACTAATTAGCAGTGATGCTTGTGTATTCAGGCCACTTCTGAATGTTTTCACAGTCAGTTCTGCTGAGTGGAATTATCTTTTTATTATGAATAAATGTCTGTTTAAAAACAAGCCACAGCTTGATCTTGGTTGAGGATGCTAGCAACTCTGTGAAAACAAATCGTAACTTAATTATTTTTCTGGTTTATTCATTTGCCTTTTTTTTTTTAAACACAAACTTTAAATGCTTCACTGTTTCTCAGATATGTGACTTAGGAGAAGCTGAAGCATCCTCTTTTTTATAACTTGTTAGAACTGAATTCTCAGTGTTTGGTACATTTGAATTCCTGAGTAGTTCATAATTTCACTTCTGATGAGAGGTCTTCCTAGAAAAACACATAAACAGGAGCTTTCTAGTATGACTCCTCATGATCTGAAATACTGTGTTCAGCCCTTACTTCACTCTTCTTTCTTTGAAATGAGACTTGCTTGAATAATGTAGCACGTCTAATAGCATTTAATTTCACTCCCATTAGAAATCCCAGACATTGTGAACAGCAAGCACCTTAAATTTTTCAGGTAAGTTCTTTGTAATCTCACTAAAAAATCTGTTTGTGCAAAACACTGTTTGAATTTGACCTATTGTATGTCTTTTTTCTTAACAAATAATATATGCAGACTGCTAAAGAATTTGTCATTTGCAAAGCCAGATGAGGTGTTGCTAATTCTGCACTTCTTAGCTGTTGCAGCCTAAGTGTTAATGACAGCTTCAGTAAGATATTGCAAGGGTTAGAAAGTTCCAACAGTTAAGAGTTTTATTTCTGTAACTGAAGTATTTTTCTTTGGCTGTACTCAGAGAATGTTTTTTTGTCAAAATGAGACCTCTGGCTGCTCTGTTTATTCACACACAGCTGACTTTTTGTACTTGGATATCTGATGATCATGTTGTTTTATTAGCTTGGTAGAGGCAAGCCAAAGATATCTGCATTATAATTGGCAAATTCTCTCTTTGCCCTTCAGAAAAAGCAAGCATCCTATTAAGTGAATACAGGACTTGTGATATTTAAATGACCCCTTCCTCTTTTATACAGCCTTTAGAAGTAATATACTTCCCATGTGAACTAACATTTACTAACATTTTGTGTCTCCACAAAGTCAGTCACAGAGTCACAGAATGGTTTGGGTTGGAAGGGACCTTAAACATCATCCAGTTCCAGCTCCACTGCCATGGGCAGTGATGCATTGGATCTGTTTGCCTAAAGTCATATAAAACGTTAACAGTTAGAAATCAGAATAAAGCACTTCATGTACCTGTTGATATTAACTTTGCAAAGTAAGCATCCAGATGAAGTGAACTTCTCCAAGCTGCTCTTCTATTGCTTAAAAGACCAGGGGTTTAATGTGTTAAACCTACAAAGAGTTGTCCTAAAGTAACTGAGGAGAGAAATAGGCTTTGGGAATGAAGTGAATTATTTGATTGCTGCTTTTTTTGTCCAGAGTGTCAAATCTGAAATTACCTAGTTCTTCACAAAGAAATCACAGCTGCTGTAGTGTACAAGATGAGGTAAACACATGGATGCTTGGTCAGACTGCAGTTGTGATGATAATATAATGCAGAAAAGCAGCCTCACTTGAGAGGCTCCTCACTTAAGAGCAGCCTCACTTCAGGAAAAAAAGGTGAACTAATGCTGCTAGTCTTTCCTACTACTTCTATTGCTTGTTGTTTTTCATGACTTTTTTTTTTTTTCTTTAAGGGAGTGGGATGGTGATCTGAAGAAGCTGCCAAACATCAAAATGAGAAAGCTGTCATTTAGGGATGCTGTTTGCATTCACACTGAGGTGTCAGATGTGGAAGCTGAAGAAGAACTGAATAAAACAGAAGATGTGGCATCATGAAGATTCAGGAGCTGGAACGGCTGAAGGGAATTGTAAGAAACTTATTTCAGTTGTTGTGGAATCAAGAATAAAGCTAGTGTTTGTAATTATATTTGCAAAGGGTTTGCTAATTGCATTTTTGTAAGCTTGCTGTGCACCTGTGCTAAACAGTGAACATTCAGCCAGCATATTATTGGCTTAAAATTTTTGAATACGAATCAAATTCAATATCTTGTGTCCTTATGTCTCATTTTATACCCGCTCTTCAGGATGCAGGTCTCTGAGTCAGCAAACTGTTTATGTCTTGGCAATCTGACTAATTTGGTGCATCTTCCCTGCTCACTGAGCAGCCAGGATTCAGAAACCCATTGGAAGTACTTTGCAGTGGGAGATCTTTGCCTTTTCCTGGTAGTCGCAAGAATATTTGCATCATTTAGCCTAGCAGTAAGCAGGTACCTTGTTAAGCAGTGGGCCCAGCTGGTGACAGCTTTTATACATCTCTTGTGGAAGTGGTTGGGGTGCCTTTGGGTGATACCAAGTATTTCATGTAGCTTTAAGAAACCACAGAAAGGTAAAAAAACCAACCAAAGAAAAAAGAACCCCTTTTTGTCTGTATGGTTTAGTTTCTGAACTTGAGAAGCCTGGAGAAGGGGAATAAGAGAGTCTTGCCTCATGTTACACAGATGAGATAGTTGAATCTTTCCTCAGATTCATAATCCTCCCATGCCTGTGCTCTTAAAGGTGCCTATTAGGGTTTTGTATAGGGATGAGTTTCTTCTCTTAGGTTGAAAACAGGATGAATGCCCTCAGGAGTTCTGTGTTCTTATGCTGTTTCTTAAAAAAGAAAGCAGTTGCTGCTAACAGCTGGATTGAGAAACATTCCTGTGAAGTTCTTTGTTCTTATGAATTTGCTGTAGGGAATACCTTGAAATGCTGTTTAACCTGTAAGGTTTATAAATTGTAATGCTAAAATCCTCAGTTATAATGCTTAAAATAGTTGGCAGGGTTTTTTTTCTGGTTAGGTTATCTTATGGAAGACTTCTTTCTTAATTCACTCAGGTACTGCTTTACCACTTTTCTCTTTCTTAACTGTGACCTTGTTAAAACTCAAATTTCTTTAAATGTCAGGGCTCACATTCAACATAAACAAATTCATACAAAAAGTAGTGCTTTAACACAGAAGCCAGCTTGTATGTAAGAACTCATTTTTTTTTCTTCAAAGGAATTGTACTTTTTAATTTGTTACACTGAAATTTGCAGCATCCTTCCTTAGGTATGCTTTCATTCCTGACAGCCTTGGGGAGCTAAGATTTCTCTGAGGAACGGAATGAATTCCATTCACATCTTTTCAGTAGCAGCAGAGCTGTTGTGTTCTGATTCTGGAGCTGAACATATTGATGGTCTTGGCTGGAAAGAAGTAGCTGGCTTTGGTTCCAGTAGCAATTGGATTTTGGTTCACATACACTAAGCAAGTAGCCATCAGCTGTTGATTTAAGAAATGAAAGAGAAAATAATACCCTTCTCAGGGATGGTTTCTAGTGGTGGATTGAAAGCTCTTTAGTGTCAGAAACACACGACTGAATTAATGGAAGTGCTCACCATGGCTTTTTCAGTCTGATGTACACTGACATTTCTGAAGGGAAGAGACTACAAACATTTCTGCTGTGGAAAAACAAGCCTGCAGTTAAGCAGTTAGCCTGGCTTTTTACTGTATTTTCACTTTTTTCCCCTCTACCAAAACACATGCTGATCCTTTGTGGAATGTCAGTATGTGCAGTGGGATGCTACAAGCCAAGAAGGCAACAAAGGCAATAGATACAAACCATGTTCTAAGCCATTTCTTGGTAGTTCAAGAAATATACTTGGGAATTACGTGATGCATGAATCTTTTAGTTTTATTTTTTACTTTAGTGGGGTAGCACTTCCATGCATCTCTGTAATTACACTGCCATATACGAAGACAGAATCTGGAATCCAAAAATGCTGAACTCCAACTTAAAAAGGAAAGAAAAAGCCTAACAGATGTAGAAGAGTAATAAAAAAGGATTTATTCATTTTTCTCAGCAGAAAAGAAGTTCCTAGCTCAGTTTTCTAGTTAAGGGCAAACAGCTGCACTTCTTAATATCAGATCAGCTGGTTTGATCGTAAGTGATGTATCAGTACCAGCATGATATGATCCATACATCACCTTTCTCTTTTCCTTTGCTAATGAGTTGTTCTGCAATTCAAGCTGTTGTCTTAAGTGCAGCTGGAAAGACTTAGTGCAACTTTCCTAATAATGAAACTCTAAAACCCAGCTGACTATGGGAGACTTCCTGCAGTAGTCCAGCAATCGAATTCCCTAAAGCTTAACTGCTCAAATGGCAAATACAGACCTGTTGTCTTAAAAGAAACAGTTCAGTGTGCAACAAGTTACCTGTTACAAATGAAAAATAAATTTAGTAGACCAAAATGCTGTTGTTGCTTTAAAAAGTCATTTTCTAGACAGATTAGAGGAAGGCAGCAGCATTCTATTGGTCTAACTACATTCACATGTAGTCAACCAAGACAGCAACATGATGATTTAAAAATATACCGAGCAGCAGTACCTCTTCCTGGGTCACAAAATGGTCATTAGTTCTTACCCACAGATTTTAATGAAGTATTCTTTTCCCCAACCCTCCAGCTCTAGAAATGTGCTAGCGACCCAAGAGGCAAAGTAGCACTTGAGGAACAATCACTAAGGCTTTTTGCCAGAACTTCAACTGATTTTTCTCTTTTGACTGCTGCTTTCTTTTGGGTCTCCTGCAAGCAGCAGTCCTGCTTCTGAATCCTATTAAGGTTTTTTTTTTGTTTATTTTTAATAAAACCACTGAAAATGCTGTTACTTCACTTTTCACATGTGTTGTTTGTGAACTATCATCAAGTTTTGCACAACACACTCATTGCCTCCCAGTCATGGACATATATAGATAAAATGGCCTTTGATTCATTCTAACCTTATTTCCTCAAACAATACATTGCATAGCATCTAATGGCTATATTAGCAATGCAACAATTCTGCTTGATAAAATAGCATTAAACTAGAAGCCTCTAAAGAAATCAGAACAGTTAATCCTCGTGTCAAACAGGTGGGACAGTTTCCCACACACCTCTCAAGGCAGGCTATCCATTGCTAAAATAAGACTTAATTTAGCTAACACACTTACTTAAAGATGATCTTCTCTCTTCTTTGTTTGGAATAGTGTTCACTGTTATTTATATATAAACAACATGAAAACACAACAAGCATATGTATGTATGTTTATGTGTGTGTGTTGTATGTGTGTGTATATATATATATAATAATCTTATAGCTGTTGACAAATGACAGAATGTTCTGTAATTCCATTAATGTAGGTTGTGAAGATGGGTTTCTCCTAGGGCTCCCTCCAGCAGATCTGTAACCTTTTCTGTTCTCAACCACGGTGTTAAAATTGATCTGAGGTTATTTTCTGAGCACAGTATCACACGTAGTGGGTGTGTGGTACAAAGTACTGTGGGTGAGCTGCTTTTTCAGTGAGGCTTTTTGGCTTTTAGATCAATTTCATAAGAATAGCCTCGATATTTTATTGGGGGAGTAAGTACCATCTAGCATCCTTCTTCATGTGTAAAGAGAGCAAACTGAACAGAAAAGTAAGGTGTTACTGAGCCAGAGATTCTAACTCTTGTGTGCAAAGCAAAAAGTTGTAGTAGGCTTATACCCATAGATTCTAATAATAAACATGGTTGTATTTTTGTATACATTGACATAGAAGTATATTTTTATTACTAGCATATTTTTGGTTATGCTTGTCCTTCAATTTTATATCTTACAGAGAGTCACGAACCCACACTTGATTTAGTGTCAGGGCACCTTTAACAAAATGACCAATCTGTTGGCCTTGGATGTGGGGAATATAATTAATTAGAACACTTCTCCTGTGTTCTGACTGCACCTGTAGCAGGTAGCAGCCATACGATGACCTATTCCAGCAAAAACACTGAAGATTCAAAGCTTAGCCCACCTCCTTCCCAACAATGATCTGTGGCAGGTGGATGCAGTCCTCTTCAGCATACAGGTCATTTAGCTCGGCTAGAAATGTTTACTGAGTTACAGAGGTATGATTAGCTTTAAATAATTTTAGTTTCTAATGTTTGTCCCACCTATGTGTAAGAGTTTATTGCGATGGACATTACAGAATCACATACCTCTGTTCATTCCAAAGCACTGTGCTCCTAGGAAGATATTCATCCTCCTACCCTTGCTTGCTCTGTCCATTTGCTAGGGCTCTAAAAACAACTGGCTACACTGTTGAAGCTCTTATACATCTTACCCCTTCGCAGTCTTCCTTCGCCTTTGGAAGTTAAACCATCATTCTTTTCAGATGGTTTTATACAGCAAGGTGTTTCTCTGAGCATTCTGCCCAACTGTGATACCCATAACTGGGCATCCAGCAGATTCATCAGTACTAAGTGTGCAGCTGATTGTATTGCTCACCTTTCTTGCCAGGGTGTCTTGCTGCCAAATTCGTGTCCTGTCCCACACGCGCTGCCCTCTAAAACAAACTGACAAACGTAGAATACTGCAGAAATTTGGATCATTTGTTTAATACAAATACATTTTTTTTCACAACAATAAGCAGATACATTACTTTTGTTTCCCTTACTTTCTGTCTTTCAGTACACATTCACCCACAAAAAACACACATTTTTTTTCTTTTGCAAAAGAGAGGGAGTCGAACAAGTAACACAAACTTGTAGTTCCAAATATTATACACAGTAAAATACTTTCATCATAAAGTCTCATCACATTATTAGAAATTAGAAGTGGTTTGTCTTGGTGATGGGGAACTTACTATTTCTTTCTACACAATAAAAATAAGCACTGCTTTCAGATAAAGCAGTGTGTGAATGGCACAGTTGGACTCGTTGATCATCTTCGTAATGCTAGTGATAGTCAAAAATGGTATATCTATGCCAGGTTGAAATAAACTTCATAATGCTTGTATCTTAAGCCAAGAGAAGAAACGTGCATGTCCACAGATTAAAAGTATCTTGTTTAAAATTTGAGCTCTCACACCAGATTACTTCCACCTACCTTCATTGCAGCTT